GCGTGGGGTGGGGCTGGGGTGCAGGCATCAATGGCTTCCCCCACCCAAGTGCCTGGTACATAGGCCGTCAAGGGTGGATCTCCGCACGCATGCATGCGTGTGCATGCACCCACGCCTGGCCTTTGAGAGGCAAGGCGCCGCTGGGGGCGCCATGTGCCCGCACCTGTGGCCCAGGCGGATGGTGAGCTTCTGGGCCAGGGACTTGCAGAGGGACGTCTTGCCAGTGCCTGGGGGCCCGTGCAGCAGCACCACCCTGAAGAATGAGGGATGGAGGGGCGAAGGGCGGGGGCGCGGGCGTGAGACGGGCCGCGCGGCAGTTCGGGCGTCCCCTCGCTCGGGGCACAGCGTGAGGATTCGGCAAGCCACAGCGCCCAGGGCCAGGCCGGCTGCACATGACCAGTCTGCCTGCGTCGACGCGTTTCAGCCGGACGCAGCGCACGAAAGCAGCCCCTTGCCAGGAAACGGTTCTGGCCCTGGGCATGCTGGGACGCCATCTCCCCAGCACGCCCACGGTGCGCCGGCATCGCAGCCCTGACGGCCCCTAGCCCCTCGTCACAATCACACCACACGGCACCCCCGGCGGCCCCTCGCCCCGCCACAGTCGCACAGCATTGCAGCCTCTCCGGCCCCTCCGCCCTCTCTGCCCCGTCTGCCCACTCTGCCCCCGCCCCAGGCGCGCCCACCTGTTCCAGGCCACCAGGTTGCTGTCGACTCCCGCCTCACTGAACAGCAACGCGCTGCTGGCGTACTGCGGGGGCGGCGCGGCGGAACGCTCATTTGCGTTCAATTGCATGTGCATGAACGTGCGCATGTGCATGCGTATGCGCGTATGTACATGCGCATGTGTGTGCACTGGCATGCGTGTGCGTACACGGTGACGTGCACACGCAAGCATGCGCACGTTCGCTCGCATGCATGCAATGCGCGGACGGCCTCTTTCACTTGGTGGCCTGAAGTGCAGTCATGGCGAACCCCACAGCTGTGCCGCACGACCAGACAGCTCCCCCCCTGCCCCCCAGCCCACCCACCCTCAGCAGGCGGTCCTTGATGCCAATGTCGTAATACAGCGACTCCCACAGCCCGTCAAAGTCCCTAAGCGGGTGAGCGGGGCCGGGGCGGGGAACGTGTGTGCGGGGAAAGGGGTGCAGGAGTGCGACATGGCAGGCATACGTGCATGAGGACAGGCAGAGGTGCAGGATGGTCCCTTGACTCTGGGTGCAGGCGCTGGATCCTGCCCATACCCACTCGCAATACACTGTGATCCGTTGGGATCCGTGCACCCGCGCCGACTCCCAGCATTGACCCGCCGCCCCGCCGCCCGCGCAGACGCCGCAAACAGCTTTTCATCAAACGCACCTGCACGGCAGGATCCACTCCCTGTATGAGGGCACCCCATCCTCCCCCTCGTCGTCGTCCGCAGCCCCCTCCTCGCTCAGCTGGTACACGTGGACCGAGGCGGCATACTGCCAGCACAGCAGCGTGCCGCCGTACTTGCGGGCCACCGCTGGGTCTGTTCCATTGCGGTGTTTGCGGCAAAAAAAACCCTGATGGGTCAAGTCGTGGGCACGAGGGGGGCCACGAGCGCTGCCGCGCATGGGACCTTAAGAGGCCTGCCCCATGCATACTGAGTCGCCGCGGGGCAGACGCGTGCGCGCGTGCGCCCAGGGCGGGCGCGTCCTGGAGCGAGTGCTTCCGGATGTCGGCCCGCGCACCGGTATCTACCAGCCGCACTGACTCCACGTGTGCTGCAAGAAACGGGTCTGACCCCTGGCCTACGTCAACGGGGCCGTCCTCATAGCGCAGGTTGCCGCCAAACAGCCTTTGGTATTGAAGATTGCATGGTTGAAGGTGCCGAGGGGATTGCACAAGGGGCTGATTGGGCTGCGGGCTGATGGCGCCGTGGCTGCACGGTGCAGGCGCAGCAATGTGCAGGTGCAGGGGTCTTATGTGCGTGATGCATCCGTCGCGGAAGGCGTACAGACGCCAACACACCAGGGGCGGACGCGCTACAATTTCCATGCTCAAGCCCGCGCCGTGCTCACTTAGCCATCCGCTGCTGGATGTCCGCAGGGTTGGCTGTGCTAGTTGCCCGGAGCGCCACCTCAACTGCAAGTGCAGTTGCACGATAAGATCAAGGCCTTGACACCGCGCTGCGCCCCGCACCCTCAGCACGCACGCCAGCAGCAGCGGCCGCAGCAGCAACGGCAGCAGCAGCACAGGCACTGGGCGTGCTGAACTGGCGGGAACGACCGGCAAGCACCCACGGGGTGGCTTACCAGTTACGGGTATTCTTCCGGGGTCATGCAAGCCTCCTCCATTCCCGTTTGCCACCGTGTGCCACATATTGTGGGTTGGGAAAAGTTCACCAGCCTCAGATCGCTGTAGAAAGCGTGCTTTGCAATCGTATACGGTTCAGTGTCATCTCTCTATGACGCATGTTTGTTTCCAAGAGCATCGCATGCGTGGCTGGCACCGTTGCCTTCGCATTGCGTTGCCGAGACTGCTGCGCTGCTGAATTGCCTCTTCTCAGCCGTCAACATTTGGATTGAACAACTGGTGATCAAGGCGGCGATGCTGGTACCGCTCTCAGCGCTCATATACACGCGGGTCCTGCAGCTGCGAGATCTGAGCTGATCTACGCGCGAGGTCTTCGAATCCGACCATATGGCAGGAAACGTGTCCAGTCTGAGCCTAGAAGGCTACATGCAGGTGCTGGAAGCGCTGACGGGCGGTAACCCCGGCACAGGCAGCGCGGGTGGCGCGTGCAGCCCGATGTCATCGGTTGTGCGGGCTGTCACGCCAATCGAGGAGCACTTTTTCAAAGTTGGTGACCTGCGTCAGGTGCGCACATATCCTTAGCAGCCCAGGTGATGATGCCCTGAAGCAACGCAAGTCGGCCCGCGGTTGATGCCGGGTGCAACGCAGCGAATCGCGATGCTGCGGCACGGCCTGCCGCAGGAGCCCTGGCAGCCCGACTGCACATACGCACACGTGGCCCAGCACAACGCATCCGACACCGCGCTTCTTCGATTTGAAACTCGCCCCGCAGGTCCTGCAAATTCACGGCCTCACAGTGGGAAAGTTTGTGCGCGGCGAGCTGCTACACTCAATGGTGGGCGCTCGCCTCCTCGACCCCACAGCCCCGTCTGCCTTGCCGCCACCGCCGCCGCCGTCCCAGACCTATACCAGCGCGTGCTCACAGCAGCAGCAGCAGCAGCAGCAGCAGCAGCAGCAGCAGCAGCAGCAGCAGCAGCAGCAGCAGCAGCAGCAGCAGCGGCTACCCATCCAAGCATCAGACTTGCTCGCCCTCGGATGGGCGTCGGGGCCGCCACAGGAGCTGCAGGCAGCGCTGGACGCGGCGCCAGCCCTGCAGCTGCCGCGCCTGGTGACTGCAGCGCCGCCGAGCGGCCCCAGCGCAGCGGTCGCGTTCCCCAATCCAGAGACTGGCGGTGTCGCAGGCGGCTCAGGGGGCGGCGACGCAGCGCCACCGGGACGAGATGGTGGGCCGCCCCTGAGCAGCCAGGCCGCTGTGACAGGTGACAGCGTGCAGGTGCCAGTTGCCAGAGCAAGCACCACCGGGCCTCAACCACAGTGCCATGCGCCGCCACCCCAGCCGCTGCATGGGCAACACACGCTTCAGCTACCCACAGCGGCTGCGCCGCGGGCAGCCGGCGGCACTCATGCTGCGGCGCGCCCGCCGACGGTTGCGCAGCAGCAGCTACAGCCGGCGCCGGCGGCAGCTTCTGGGCAGCCGCTTGACCAACAGGCTCTGCTGCTGGCGATCCTACAACAGCACGGCCTTCTGCCGGCGGGCGCTGCGCTGCACGGCGGCCCCAGCGAGGCGGCGGTGCAGCAACCTCCGCGGCCGCCCCCAGACGACAAGCAGGCAGGCGCGGACGCCGGTGGCGGGGAGGGGACGCGCGTGCTGCTCACTCCCCAGAGGCGCCGCCGCGCCAGCAGCGGCGGCGGCGGCGCGACGCCAGGCGCAGACGGCGGCGCAGCGGAGGGCGGGGGCAGCGGCGGGGGCAGCCACGGGCCCCCTGAGCCGTCCGCCTGGCTGCGCGGCCAGCTGGCGGTTTTCGAGGGCCTGCCCGGCTGCGGCGCGTCGAGGGAGCCCCTGGAAGGCGCCGCGGCCTGCGAGGCGCTGGCGGGCCGGCGGGTGGCGTTCGTGCTCGTGGGGGAGATGGAGGTGGCGGCGGGGCGCGGCGCGGTGCTGAAGCTGCCCCCGGGGCTGTTCCAGGTGGGCTGGCGGGACGCTGGGGGAGGGGGGCGCAGGGGGCGGAGCATGAGCGATGGTCGGAGCATCGGTCCACCTGCTGCAAGCACATCGCCCACATCCTGTACGCTGCTGTCCCTGGACTTTGCCTCTGCTGACCGCTGCCTTCGCGTCACAAAGCTCTCCCATACTTTTGGCCCCTTGTGTGTAGGTAGCCTGTGCCAATTGCGATTATCATGACGCAAAAAGGAACAGCCAGTGCGCGCACACACACACACACACACACACACACACACACACTCATACACTCGCTCTCACTCACACAACCCTCTATCTCTCGTGCTATCCCTATGTCTCTCTCCACGCACGCACGCACGCGCACATACCCCCCCCTCACACACACACACACACACACACACACACGCACTCACGCACGCACACGCACGCGCGCACACACACACACACACACACACGCGCGCGCGCGCGCAGGGGGCGGCCCCACCCTCAAGAACACACACACGCACAACCCCTATGCCACACCCCTCACCCCTCTCAGGGCCGCGCCATCCGCTTCCTTGGGACCTCCTGCCGCTCCGAGCTCTGCGAACCCACATGCCACGGGCCCCACTTCTTCTACTCAGCCAAGATCATCCCGCCGTCCCAAGAGTCCCTCGCAGCCATGGCCGCGGCAGCGCCCGCCGTCCTCGGCTCGACGGCGGGCGTCGGCGGCGCGGGCGGGGCGACAGAGGAGGCAGCGGCGGCGGCGGCGGCGGCGCAAGCCGGGTACGCGGCCGCGCTGGGGCGGCCGATTGAGCTGGAGCTCGACCTGCACCCGCGGCTGAGGCGGCTGGCGGCGCGGCAGCTTCTGAGCCTCGAGCCAGACCAACTGCAGGTGGGGGCTGGGCCAGGACAGTCTGGCGCCGTCGTTTTTTGGCACCATTCTGCTGCGCTCCGTGCTTATGCGTGCTGCAGTGCCGGGTCACGACCCGCTGCAGACGCGGCTTTGGGGGGAAACAGGCCTGCTGGCATGTTGCTTTCTGCACATTGGTCTTGCGGCGCCCTCTTGACCCCCGACATGGCAGCTGCGCCTCGTCAACTGCCGGTCACCGCGCACACCGAGAGGACAGGACCCTCATGAGCACGAATCCCACAATCACGTCAGGATGCATGGGTGCTGCTTGAACAGCAGGAGCCGCCGCCAGCGGCGCCAGAAGATGCAGGCGGCGCGGGCAGCGGCAAGGGCGAGGGGGGCCGCGGCCGAGGCGGCGGCCGGGTGACGGCGGCGGGCGGGAGAGGTAGGCGCGGCGGCGAGCGGCCGGTGGCCAAGCGTGCAAGGCGGTGACATACGTGTGTGTCAGCCGGAAACATCTCACGTTGCTGATGTCATGATATGATAAGCAGACGGCATACTTCGGCGGGATTCAGTGTTGTTACATGCAACTGCAGGCAGTGACTCCTGTGCCTCAAAGTGTACATGCAATAGCATGCGAACGGCTGCGCCGCCGACTGCGCATACGGTACGGTGCTGTACCCTGAGTTTCTCCATAGACTTGATTCTTCCGAGGCGTCACCATCCAGGAGCCTCAATGAACAGTGCGCAATGCCCGGCGCAGGTGGGAAGTCAAGCATGGCACGGGTTCCTCTGCTAGCCGGGATGGCGTGTCGATGAAGTGGATGCAAGCGCGATACGTATCGCCACGTAAACGTGGTCCCCTCGCCCAGCGGGCGTGAGCGCCGCCTGAAATATACACTTTGGCCGTTCACCAGCGACACCTCGCAATGGTGAATGCACGCCAGTGCCAAGCAGGGGAAGCTGGGTGGCCAAAATACAGGGTTGCCCACAGAGGACATCAGCGCGCCATGTGCACGGCAAGCGCTTGACAATATTGCTTAAGAAGCTGTGTGGAGCGTTTTGTGTCGGTTGGATGTGCAGAAAACGGCATAGCCGGCAGCAAAGCAGCGAAGAAAAAAGGCACACAAACGCATTGCAATAGCAGGTGAGCAGGGCAGGCAAGGCAAGCACTTGGTTCCTGAGAAGGCAACGGACTGGCAATACGAAGAGAAAGGCAGGAAGAAGGGAAAAGCACTCCAGCCTAGTGTCAATCAAAGCCCATAAATGTGAAGGATTTGAGGCAAACTGGTGAGCAAAGCTCTGGCGGTCCAGGCAAGTACACCTAGGGCCCAAACGCAGCATAAAACATGCTGCATTGTGAAGCGTGCAAAAGTCTGCCTATCGCATCGCGGCACGGTGGCGCACCGCCACCCTGCGGTCATGAGTCAGCAGCCGACGGCGGCCCCAGGATGCAGATGCGCCCTTCTGATCAGACTTGCCGCCCGAGCTGGAGCCGCCCCCGTTGCCGCCGTTGTTGTTCCCGCTGCTGCCACTGCCACCGCTGTTACCCTTGTTGTCCTTGTTGCCGCCGCCGCCGCCGCCGCTGCTACGGCTGCTGCTGCTCTTGTTGTCACTGTTGTTGTTAGTGCTGCGGCTGTCGCCACCGCCGTTGTTGTTGCTGCTGTCGCTCTCACTGCTCTTGTTGCGGCTGTGGTCGTTGTTGCTGCTGTGGTCGTTGTTGCCGCCGTTGCCATTGTTGCTGTTGCTGCCACCAGAAGATGAGGAGCCGCCGCTGCCGTCACCGGTGTTGAAGCAGCTGGCCCAGTTGCTGCAGGTGGGCTTGGAGGGCGAGCCTGAGGGGCAGGGCACGCGCCGCCAGCGCGCGGCGACGACGCCGGCCGACTGGGAGGCGATCTTATCGAAAGCATGATAGGACATGTCCTGGGGAGATTTGGGTGCAATAATTGGGTGGGCAGCAGCGGGTTTACAACGTTCAGATAGAGAAGCTCATTAGCTGGGTTTGGTGGGTTTGCGGATTGCTGTGAAGCAGCCGGCAAGATGGTGAGACTCAGCAGGCAGCTGGGCACCGACGAAACGAGGAGCTGCGTCGTTTGGGAGTGGGCACTGGTAACGGCAGCAGGCACAGCGGCGGCATCGATGCGGCGCCCAGCATGCCATGGGGCAGTGCGAGCGAGCGCGCGTCGCGATCCAACCAAGCGCTCACGATGTGGCGGGTGTCGCCGCAGCACCAGCGCTTGTTGGAGTAGTAGTTGGAGGGATAATTGCAGGGGCCTGCAGCGCAGGATTGTTTTGGGTGACAAATGCATGGTTTCATGGGGGGGGGGGTGAGCAAGGACCTGTGCGAAATGTGGTGAGGCAAGGCTGCGCAGGGTGGCGCAGGGATGATCCGGCAGACGCGCTGGGATCCCGCCCCGCGCCCAATACATGCATGGGACATACAGTACACCGCAGCCGCGCAGCAGCAGGCACGAGCAGCTTCCGCGCCATGCTGCGGAGGGGACAATTGGCGTCCCTCGTCGCGGCCGCCAATCAACGGGGTGTTTGGCTTGGCGCGGTCATTCATAAATCGATTCAGCGCGACGCACATGTGTCTGTGATGGTGATGGTGACCGTGGCGTCGCCCTTGCAGGAGCCCTTGCGGGAGAGGCGCTCGCCGTAGCCGTCGGTGATGTCATCGTTGACGCAGGCGACTGGGAGGGGAGGGGCAGAAAGGCAGGCCCCGGAAGGGGTGGGTTACGTAAAAGCAGGCGGGTATGTACATACAAGGGTGTCTTGAGCAGCGGGAGGAAGTTTAGGGTCAGCAAGGGCCTTGTTGCGCCAAGAGCGAGGCGCGCGCGGGCACTTGGGCACACCTTCATAGCAGCGGCCGCAGGAGCCGCCAAACTCTGGGTCGCTGTCAGACAGGGCGCCGATGTCCAGGCCCGTGCCTTGTCCGGCTTGGAGGGCGCCGAACTGGCAGGATCCCTGGTCCACGGTGGCCCCTCCGTCGTTGCCGCTGCCC